TGAATTCTATGAAGGCACGGTTAGTTTTAGTCATATTACTCTCTATCAGAAACAAACTGTGCAAGACAAATGTAAAATATCTTTACAAATTGTTAATAGGCAAGTTTTGGGATTCTTTTAAAAATATTTTATTTTTCTAATTACATATAAAAACAAGTTTTAATTCATTTTAAAAAAATTTAGGGGCAGCTGGATGGCTCAGTAGATAGAGTACTGACCCTGAAGTCAGGAGGACTTGAGTTCAAATCTGGCCTCAGACCAAACACTTGATGCTTACTAGCTGTGTGACCCTGGGCAAGTCACTTAACCCCAATTGCCTAAAAAAAAAAATACCAAAAAAAATTTTTTTAGTTCACCTCCTTCTTGAGAAGGCAATTTGATATAGATTATACATTGCAGTCATGTAAAACATATTTCCATATTAGTCAAGTTGTAAAAGAAAATACAGACCAAAAAAACCCCAAGATAAACTTAAAAAGGTATGCTTCAATCTACATTCAGACTCTTTCAGTTTTTTCTCTGGAGGTGGATAGCTTTTTTTCATAATTAGTTCTTCAGAATTATCTTAGATCATTGTATTATTGATAATAGCTAATTCATTCACAGTTGATCATTATACAATATTGTTGTTACTTGTTGCAATGTTCTCCTGGTTCTGTTCACTTCACTTTGTATCAGTTCATGTAAATCTTTCCATCTTTTTCTGAAAGTATCCTGCTGCCATTTCTTACAGCACAATAGTATTCCATCACAATCATATACCACAACTTGTTCAGCCATTGCCCTATTAATGGACATCCCCTCAATTTCCAATTCTTTGCCACCACAAAAAGAGCTGCTATAAATATTTCTGGCCACATAGGTCCTTTTCTTTTCTTTTCAATCTTGTTGGGATACAGACCTAGTAGTGGTATTTCTGCATCAAAGATGTATGTATGATTTTATAGCTCTTTGGGCATAGATCCAAATTGCTCTCCAGAATGACTGGATCAATTCACAACTCCACCAACAGTGCTTTAGTGTCCCAGTATTCCTACACCCCTTCCTACATTTCTTTTTTCTCTGTCTCTCCATTTTTACCTTGTCCATTTTCAAAAGTGTTTTGCTTCTAACCACCACCTCTCCCAATCCACCCTCCCTTCTATCAGCCCCCTTCCTTCTCTTACCCCCTTCCCCTCCTACTTCTCTATAAGGTAAGATAGATTCCTATACACAACTGAGTGTTTATGTTACTTCCTCTTTGAGCCAATTCTGATGAGAGTAAGGTTCAAGTGTAGTTCTCCACTTCCTCACCCCATCTTCCCCTCCAATGTAAAAGCTCTTTTGTGTGACATAATTTACCCCATTCTACCTCTCCCTTTCCCATTCTCCCAGAGCATTCCTCTTTCTCACCTCTTTAGTTTTTGTAGATATCATCCCATCATGTCAGCTCACACCCATGCCCTCTGTCTAACTTCCTTAATAATGAGAAAGTTCTTAGGAGTTCCAAGTACCATTTTCCCATGGAGGAATGTAAACAGTTTAACATTATTGAATTCCTTATGATTTCTCTTTCATGTTTACCTTTTTATGCTTCTTTGAGTCTTGTATCTGAAAGTCAAGTTTTCTATTCAGCTTTACTCTTTTCATCAGGAATGGTTAGAAGTCCTCTATTTCATTGAATATCCTTTCCCCTAAAAGATTACACGCAGTTTTGCTGAGTAGGTGATTATTGGTTGTAAAAGAATGGGCTTTTTAAAAAATCAGGGAACTTTTGCATTAGGGGAAAGAAACAGGAGATGAACTTTTTGGAAGTGGGAACTCTCAGTTCCAAAGAAGAGTGTTCTATTTGGGTGGGTGTTGAAGAAAGTCTGTCTTAGCCGTGTCTAGGGTTGCAAGTGCTGGAAGTCAAGGGATGTGTTGGGAGCCAGCTTCCTCTACCTGACTGTAACTCCAAGAGCTCCATATAACCATTCAAAAGATCAGGATTGCTTCTCTCAACTAATTTGATCCAGACCCTCTGAAAATTGCAGAGTAAAATCAGGGACTCATTGATCTCAGGCAAATTCCCTCCAAACAACTTTAAAATAACACCTCAAAGTGAATTCTGGAGTGGCAGAACCAACAAAAGGATGGGGTGAAACAATTTTCCATCTAAGATACCTTAGAAAGTTGGCAAGAAAGGTCTGTCTCACTGGGGTGAGACTGGAGCACAGTCCAGTGCAGGCCACAACTGGCAAGCCAGTAGCAGGCCTTGGGAGCAATTGAGCAGCAGCAGCTTTCAGAGCTCTCAGCTCACAAATGATAAGGGGGTGGCACAATTGGTCTAAAGGAGATTCCAGAGGATCCACTGCTGGCACTGAGTGAAGGACTTTGTTGTATTACCCATACTTGGTTCTGAGTCACAGTCCCAGGGTAAGGAGGAGCACTAAGAGTGTGAGGTCACAGAGAAGTGGGGGACCCTGGTCACTGTTCCAGGGTTGAAAAGAGTGCTTATGGTTGCTCACAGACCAGAGAAGATGCCAGGAGAACAGTGACCACATCTCTCCTTAGATCATACCACCTTGGAAGAACCAAAAATCTACAGACCCACACGGCTAGTTCTGAAAAATATTAACAAGAAAGGCCTGAAGCCTGGGACACCCTTGACCCAATGAGCAGAGCCCAACTTTAACATAAAGTTATAAGTCAAGAATTAGGCTGGAAAATGAGAAAACGATAACAAAAACTGGACCATAATAAGTTACTATGGTGACAGGAAAGAGCAAAACACAAACTCTGAAGAAGACAACAATGTCAAAATAGCTATAACCAAAGCCTCAAAGAAAAATGTAAATTGGTTTTAGATCCAAGAACTCCTGGAAGTGCTCAAAAAGGATTTTAAAAATCAAATAAGAGAGGTAGAGGAAAAAATTGGGAAAATGAATAAAATGATTAAAGAAAATCATGAAAAAAGTCCACAGTTCAGTAAATAAGGCACAAAAAATACTGAAGAAAACAACATTAAAAAAAAAACAAACAGAAAAGGATTAATGGTAAAAGAGGCACAAAAATCCACTGAAGGAAAAAACAAATCCTTAAAGGAGAATTGGCCAAATGGGAAAAGCACAAAAATTCAGTAAAAGAAAAAAACTCCTTAAAAAGTAGAATTGGCCAAATGGAAAAGGAGGTACAAAAATTCTCTGGAGAAAATAGTTCCTTAAAAATTAGAATCAGGCAAATGGAAGCAAATGGCTCCATGAGACAATAATAAAACAAAGAAATAATAACAACACATAATACACTATACTAATAAAAACAAACAAAAACAAAACAAAATAAAATATCAAGAAACAATAAAATCAACAGAATGAAAAAACAGAAGAAAATGTGAAATATCTCATTGGAAAAAAACCTGATCTGGAAATTAGATTGAGGAGAGGTAATTTAAGAATTATTGAACTTTCTGAAAGCAATGATTGAAAAAAAAAAAGCCTAGACATCCGACATCATTTTTCAAAAAATTATCAAACTGCCCTGATATCCTGGAACCAGAGGGTAAAATAGAAATTGAAAGAATCCACCAATCACTTCATGAAAGAGATCCCAAAATCAAAATGCCCAAGAATATTATAGCCAAATTTCTCCCAGGTCAAGAAGAAAATATTGCAAGCAACCAGAAAGAAACAATTCAAATATTGGGGAGCCACAGTCAGGATAACACAAGATTTAGCAGCTTCTGCATTTAAGGATCTGAGGGCTTGGAATATGATATTCTGGAGGTCAAAACAGCTAGTATTATAACCAAAAATCCTTGCCCGGTAAAACTGAATATAATCCTTCAGGGGAAAGATGAATGTTTGATGAAATAGAGGACTTTTAAGCATTCCTGATGAATAGAGTAGAGCTGAATAGAAAACTTGACGTTCTGACACAAGACTCAAGAGAAGATAAAAAGGTAAACAGGAAAGGGAAATCATAAGCGACTTAATATGATTCAACTGTTTACATTCCTACATCGGAAGATGATACTTGTAATTGTTAAGAACTTCATTATTAGGGCAGTTAGAAGGAGCATATATAGACAGAGGGCACTTTCCCTGACTGGTCTAAAGGGAAAGATAACAACTATTATCAGCTACCTCCCAGCAAATACTGGTTGCACAAAAGGTAGATGGTAGAGTAATTCACTGTTAGATTTGGGCAAGGGATATCGAGTTGAAAAAAGTGTTAACACTTAACTGGTTTGTTACAGGGTTGAGATTGGGAAGGGCAAAAATTGAAGCCAGAGGAGCGTTTGCCTAGGGACAGTGGTTCTCAAAGTATGATCTGGGGACTCCTGCAATGTCCAAGACTCTTTCAGGGTATCTGGGAAGTCAAAACTAATTTCACTATAATAGAAAAATTTTAATTTCAAATATAGTAAATATTGATAGACTCTGAATAAACAAAAGCTCTTTAGGAGATCAATACTTTTTTAAGAGTAAAGGGGTCCTGAGACCAAAAAGTCTGATAACTACTGGGCTAGGACAGTCCTGAGGGATGAACTAGAGGTCATGGTGAAGATGAAAAGTTTTGGGATTGAGGCATCAGATGTTTGAATGCTGGGTTCCAGCTGGATAAGATATTTCAGGGTTCTTAATCATGGAAGTGGTACACTTGTGACAGTGAGAGCAAGAGTATGACCTTTTCTTGTCTGTGGATGAGGTAAAGGAGTAGATTAGAAGAATTAATTTGGCTAACAGGTATGAAAAAAACCCCTTTGCAAAGTTAAAAAGTACTATAGGTACCATGTAAGAAGTCAACTATTTTTGGAAAATTCTAAAATTATTAGACTTTGAAAAGCTCAAATGCTTTTTGTCAGATGAGTTCATACGTTCAGTCTACTAGCGTTTAATGTTAATTAATTAATTAATATATTAATAACTTAATGAATAGTGATGAGCCTCTGACCACTTAACCTTTAGAAAGCATTTCACAACTTTGTAAATAATGGTCCCAAATCAACATTTCCAAGCGTAGAATAATCCAATAAAGACAAGTATTTTTAACAAAAAGTTTATTACCAAAATACAATATTAAAGTCAATACAAGACAACTCCTGTAGAGCAAAATAAATTATTCTAACATCATACAGTATTTCAGAAGGTAGCATTGTTGAATTTGCTTCATTGTTCTGTTCCATCATGAACACAATCCTAGAATTTTAGGCTTTAAGGCATGCAGCTTAATGTGCTGGATAATTTCATAAAATGCAGATCATCCTATTTTAATAAGATACAGCGTTAAAATTAACTGTATTCTTTACATGTCAGTTTTCTAAAGATTTTAATGCTTTGGCTATAAAAGCAGTGCCATAGTGTTATACAATGCTTATTTCTTAAAAAAATACATATATCCATGTCCATGAATATTAAACTCAAATTTCTATTAAATATATTTTACATAACATTACTTTGAGCACCTGCTGTACATTTTTAAGGATTAATTAAATAAGTGCTTGTGAAAATTGAAAAATCTATGAATCTTCAGAGAGGCATTTGCTCTTCCTTGTCAATCCAAGTACATTGTAGGATGATGAAATGTAAACACAGGGACCCACCGCTTTGCTTCACTAGTACAGACAACTCTTAAGTGGTTTTGGAATGATTTTTTTCTATCTCAAACAGGATTAAAGTATTGAGAACAAAGGTTACGGAAAGGGTCACTAAATTAAATTGGCTGGCTAGAGAACTGAAAACATAAGGCTCAAGTATAGTGTGGTATAGTAATTTTCTAGTTGTTGATGCACTGACACAAAAGGGTCTCTGGATCATCAGAGAAATAATATAACACTGTTGTTTATAGAATTATCACATGTCTCACTCAAGAAACTTTTTTAAAAAGTTGCTTTCAGGATCAATTCTGGCAATCTTAAATGTGTGGAGTTCTTAAAACACAATTTTGTAAAAGATCTTGGACTAATGAAATCACTAATCTCTTCCTTTGTTATAAAGGGGGTTTCCTACTTGTCATTTTGATGTTTAATTCTGTTGAAATTACAGCCTTGACATTTGAATATTTAGAATACTTTTTCACTTTTTAAAAGTATTCTATTATTTGGTTTGATGCAGTTGTTAACCTCAGGCATATCACAAAATAATGGGAAAATAAAACTCTGTGGATTCAAACCATGGGCCTTGATACAAATTTAATGACTATTTTTGTGGCCTTCATTTTCTTTCCATTACCTGTGACAATTTTAAAATTCACGATCCCATGTGGAAAATGTAAAGAACAATCAATGGAATTGGTTTGAGGGCACCAAAAATAGGCAAAAAAAATATTATATATACATACACATACACATATATATTTTCATAGACGGGGAAAGGGGAGATGGGGATTACCAGGGCTTCTCTCCCTCCCAAATAATTATATAAAATGGGAACCACAAAAATGAATTGCTATGTTGCATATTTAACATAGGAATTCCTTAAGGTTGACCATTTTCAGCATTACTTCTTTCTACACCTGATAAAACTAAGCTCTATCTCCTCTAACTTTACAGAAATGACTGGAAATAATAATCTGGCCCACAATATCAGTGCTGACCACTGTGATGACAATGGTACCATTTAAAATATTTGACTCTGATTCAAAATTTATTATGTTGCATTTTGATTCAGAAAAGATGAGACTATGAAAATGTAAAATTCTCTTGTTATTCCATACACACTGGGTTCAGTGATATATTTATTACATCCAAATGTTTGGAAATCTGTTTTAAAAAAATCTCGTAAGTGGACTTAAATTCAATGAAAGGGTAAAAGGTAATTTTAATTAATGAGCTATATGACATTGCTGCAAAATCTTAATTTTATTTAACACACTTATGCACGTGTAACCTAAGTCATTGTCAAATTATAACGTAAGAAACACAAATCAGACACTGCTATAACTCAAAGTATTCATAAGGACACCTTAAAAATTTAATTCCATTCTGTAGACTTGAGCTTATTTTACTACCTCAAGTAAGAAGTGTCTATACAACACCCCGACAAACTCTAAGTTGCCCAGCATCACAGTCTTTAATAAGGAGGATATTAGAAAATAAATGCAGAAATAGCACCACGAACATGGTGCACTAGGTGTACACCAGCCTTTCAGATCTGTAGTTACAGAAATAAGCTGTAACAGAAATTATGCATAAATACGTGATAATAAATACAAAAGAAACATTGTTCTTACTATCACTCTTTGAAATACATTAATAATAAAGTTTCTTACACAAAACTTGTAATTTGTGAAAAACTAGAAGGGAGAATTGCACCTATGTGATAGCAGGTTTCGAGGCAATTTCCTTTTAAAAAAAAATCAGTTCTTCATTTCGCTCTTTCAGAATACTCTAAACTTTTCTAGATTTTTCTTAGGTAAGACATATCCTTAAAGACTATTAAACCCTGTTTGTTATTTAAACTTTTATAGGCAATCTGAATTTTTCAGGATACAGCACTTATGCTTATTATCCTACTTTTGCACAGGTAAATATAAAAACATCAGATTCACTAACTTTACAAAAAAAAAAAAAGCCCTCATTTTAAGAGCCATCAAATTTCTCCCTCTATCTTCTGAAATGATTTAAAGAGAAACCATTTATCAAGGAAAAACTATCACATACTTTCTCACTCAATTAAAGATGGGGATAGCTGTCAGAAAAATAGTTTAGTGATCAACAAATGAAACTCTTCTTATTTAAAGTTTTATTAAGCCTCTGGTAGCTTGCTTGCTTTTACTTGGGAGATGGGGTTGATTTTACTTAGAAAACTACAGTGCTCTGAATATCACTCAGAGACAGCCTTTTAGTGGCAACATGAGTACTGTACTTTTATAGTTACCATTTCCATAAAACTGGATTTCCATTTTTTTTTGGTGATTTCCTGATTATTTCTTCCTTATCCCCCCTTAAAAATGATCCCACACATGTAAATGAAAAGATACTTTTAAAATGTCTACTTGCAAACCACACCTGAATATAAAGGTGGTTGGTTTCATGTTTGTAAAAATAGGGTAAAATTTTACTTATGCCAAGCTTGACTGGATGACTATTTCCTTTTAGTTCAGTATGGGATTCCAAATACATACTCTAAAGATAGTTAATAAGATTCTCTGAAAACACTCTCGTCCCAAAGTCCACTTGCTTCCCTTCTGATCCTGCCCTCCTTGTCAGTAACAGTGAACAGACCTAGTTTTCTTAGGTAAAATTCCTCTCTACCCCAAAAATTGCTACGCCATCAGCTGGAAAGGAGGACAAATAATCTTTACCTAAAATAAAGGATATATTTTTACTACAATGGTTCCTGAAAACACTTCATATTAACTCCTTTGTTCAGGTCTACAATAGGCATTTAGAAATGCAAATATTTGGCACAAGATGGAGGAACACAGTGTAGGTACAAACTTCTTTGTTTCTTTCCCATTTGCTCCCCCTAGGACTATTTATTCTTTATTGAGTATTGCCCATTTAGAGTTCCTTCTCTTACTGCAATAGGGATTTAGTTCACCAAAGTCACACTTGCCACTTACACAAATATCACACAAGTAATTTCCTCTTTAGTACCTCAGCTGACATTAACAAAGGTAGAGCTATTGCTAGGAAAATTATTCCAACTAATTTGTGCTTAGAGTTGAGTTGTGGTCCTTATTTAGAATGATGTTTATAATTTCACCCTCATGCTCTTTCATATGATCTAAAAGGTTTTCCTTGCTAGTAGATTCAAAACCACAAATACAACAACAGAAGAGCAAAACACAGTATTCCATATTGGGAGGGGCCTGTTTGGGGTTCTTTTCTGAACTTTGTGAGGTATTATTCTTTGTTGGGCTAAGTTTTTTATTCTCATTGGGACCTATAACTTCACTGGGAGCCTGGTTAACTGTTTCTGAAAATGACACCAAATTCTCTGAAATCCCCACAACAGAATTAGCTTTCTCATCAGTGCTGTCTGATAAAATCTTTCCAGGGGATTGTCCTTGAACCCTAAAAAACAAAAACAAGAAATGCTTACATTTTAAATTAAAATTAACTGGCTGGGAGTGAATTTTCCAATTCAAACATATGAGATGAATGAGAGGAAGGAGGAAGGATTTAGGGTGGTTAGGATCACGCACCTGCCACTTTGTGAAATTGCATCATTGATAGCCTTATTTACTTGTTCATAGTTATAATTTTGGTCACTTGCATGTTTCCACATATGGGATTTCAAAGAAGGAGGATGGCTACATACATATCCACACAGAGAACATCTGAAAGATAGGTTCAGGAAAAAAAAATCAAAATGCTTTTTCAGTGCAATTTAAAGAAATAATACAAAACTTAAAGAAAGTCTCTTAAAGTCAGCTCTAGGTATGACTTTGAAGAATCAAGTTAACAATTTGCTACTGCTCTAGCTAAACATAACTATGTTTAACATTTCTAAAAAGTCACCTATTCAGAATCTTGACTGAGTCACTAATAAGATGAAACATCCCTTTGTCCCTAAACAAAGGGAACCTAAGAACTACTCTTCGAAAAGGATTTCAGTTAGATTTAAAATAGCCAAATACAACTAAAACAGCAGCGAGGCCTGTAGAAGTTTTGAAAATTTTTTATTTTGTAAAATTTGGCATTTAATTTAACAATCTAACACTCTAAAGTAGCAGTTCCCAAACATTTTAGTCTCAGGACTTCTTTATACTCTTAAAAATTATGGAGGACTCCAAAGACCTTCTGTTTATGAGGTTATAGCTACCAATGTCTTCTGTGTTACAAAATAAAACAGACAAAAATTTTAAAATGTTAATTTAAAATAACAAATACATTACATGTTAACATAAAAATTTTTAAAATTAAAAATAACTATTAAAAAATTGTAGTCAAAAGAGTGGCATTGTTTTATATATTTATGCAAATCTCTTTTAACATATGGCTTAATTGAAGCAAGCAGGATTCTTTTATCTGCTTGGGCATCAATCTGTTTCGGTATGTTTTTGTTGAAGTATGTGAAAATCCTGTCTTATACAGATATTTAGCTGGAAAAGAGAGGAGTATTTAAGTAAGTAAATAATGTCTCAGTATCATGAAAACTATTTTAAACTTGTGGACTTCCTGAAAGGGTCTTGGTTATCTTCAGTGGTCTCAAGAACTGCTGTTCTAAAGCTTTTAAAAAAATTCATCTATTCTCTTTAGTGTTGCACAAATCAATAAGTCTTGAATTTACCACTAAAAATTTGAGAAAGCTACTTTAATAATACATTTCTGTTCAGTACTTAATACAGACAAATCTATTTATTAATTGGTACTCATCCCTAAGTAACAATACAAACTGTTAGTGATACTGATGCAGAGAGAAATGTATGCAAAACAAGAAAATGAGGCAGGGACAGAACTTGTTTTCTTTTCAGCATTTATAATAGCATGCTAAAATGTAAGAAGGTATGGTTCTATATAGATGGCTTCTACAATAACATCCAGTAATAGATATATCTTTCAGGAAACTTTATGTTATCTATAGCTCCAGGTCCAAAGTTAACGCTTCTAGTATTTGAGAAATATTATCCCATAGTAGTTTTTTTTTTTCCTAAATGAACTACTCACCTTAAGTTTTCATAAGCCTTAATAAGAAAGTAAAATGCATAAAACTAATATTTCAAATTCTTGGCCACCCAAACTGATCTTTGGTTCATGAGCCTGATCATCTTTTTTTTTTTTTTCTGTTAGTTGCAGACAATTTCACTTTCAGTGAAAGTATTACACAGACAGATATCCTAGTCAACATATCTGAAGGCCAGTATGCTACATGAAGCACACTTAATTGCATTATGGTAGGATCATAGTAGTATATGATGCCCAACCAAAATAAAAGGTGTACTGTAAAATGCCCCTTAACCACCAAAAATTATTTTGTAATTATAAGATAAAGGAGCCCTTTCAGAAATTAAATTAAATTAATTTATTCATTCATTCATTCAACTGTCATTTATTAAATGCCTATTCCAGATAAACTTCTACGTTAAGGCACACAGAAAGTGGGCTTGAGAGGAGTCAGCATGCCCCTAGAGGCCAACTGGTGACAGCAGCAGGAACTCATTAATAAAAAGGTAGGATGAATAACCAGATACTGACAACCTTCTGTTCCTGTCTGAGAATTTCCATTCCATGTAGAAATGTTCCTATGAAAGCTAGACAGCACAACGATATACTGGAATTAGAAGGCTTATAGGCCTAGGTCTTGGCACCATGGACTGGTTCTTTGGCAATTTGGTAAAAACAGCCACTTCAAGAGACTTGGATTCTAGCCTCATTTCTCTTAATAATTCTCTATGTGATCTGAGGCGAATCACAATCTCTCCCTTGGCCTCAGTTTCCTTTTAAGCAAACTGAAGGTGTTAGGTTTTTGATAATCTATCTCTACAGTTCCTTCCAACCTCTCACATTGTTACTGTGAGTTATGTTCTTAGAGGAATTACATGCTAAGAAACCTACTTTTCAAAACAAAATGTTATAGTTATAAGAGGAATAAAATTAATATATAACATAAATACAATTGTTTTTAAAATATTCTCTTTCTTAAGTGCATTCAATAATGTCCATTCATTTACAAAACCTTTCTTTGGAGGGTAACCAGAGAGAGAGAGAGAGAGAGAGACAGAGTTTGTGTATGTGTGTGTGAGTGCGTGTGTGTGCACACATACATACACATAACCACACCCACACCCACACACCCACTGAGCTATTAAACTGGGATCCTTCCTAAAATGTACAAACCACTATTCTGGAAAGTGACAAATCAGTTAGGGTATGGAGGTGGGTGTAGAGAAAATGCTGGTTATACCCAGGAGTGTATCCACTATAGACCTAGGAGTTGCCTTTTAAACTGAAGAAGGAAGCCAACCATTTAACTTCACATTGTTTTAGGCCTTATCAAAAAATGGAGTACTTTGCGTGCTATTCAGTTTGAGTAAAGCACTAATAAAGAAGACCTCTTTTTCAGAAACCACAACACATTTTTAAAAGGAAAAATGTAAGTTACTTGTTTAAAATGCTTCATCACTTACAATAAATACTCTTTCCCAATATTCATTTATTCATCTACCTTGAAGTAGACTGTTACAGTGTACAGAGTACTGGATTTCTACCCAGAGAACCTGAGTTCAAATCATGACTCTGCTACTTAAAACCTACATGACCTTGAACAAAGCATTTAACCTCTGAGGGTCTATTTCCTCCAGTGTAAAATAAGGAGGTTGGACAAGATGATCACACAAAGTCCCTTTCTAGCTCTAAATCTATGAGCCTTTGAAATCTCTCACAATATCCATACTTTAGGAATTACTTTATATCAGGGGTGGGGAACTACAAATGCTGAGAAATCTATTGAGACACTACCACATTCATATTTTTTCTTTCTTTTTTTTTTCTCAGTGAGGCAATTGGGGTTAAGTGACTCACCCAGGATCACACAGCTATACCATATTCATATTATCAACACTATATTTTAAAAATACAACTATAATTTATGACTATTTTTGCTTGGGAAGTGAGGATACTAGCTATAAAACTGAAATTTCTGCACTGTATAAAGCATGCTGAATTCCTCATAAGATGTAAAATAGTATAAAGTGGAAAAAAAATTAAATACCAATAGAAACCTTAAAAGTCAATCTTGATATTTTCCATTTTGTATTTAAATTTGGTCATTAATCTTATTTGAAAAAGCAACTTGAGACAGACACTAAGCTTACTCCTTATGCCCAGAGATCTTAATTTCCTTATTTCTTTAGCTCCTGTATTCTCAAATTCAGTTTGAATTTGTTTACTCCCTAATCAGATTGTAAATTCCTTGGAGGCAGACTGCATCATTGTTTATCCTTATAGCTCTTCTAGCACCCAGCATCACTGCAGCTTTTTAAGTTCTTAAATGCTTCTTGGATTCAACATTCACTTTGTTGTTCCCACTACATATACAAGTTCACAGACCTCATCACTCTGTGCCACACAGACTTGTCAGTACAAAACCAGGGTTCAGAGAGATCACATATGTATTAAGTGCTTCCTATGGGCGAGACACTGCACTAAGTGCTAGGGACACAAATCAGAGGATAAGGAAAGACAGCCTCTACCTCCAAGGAACTTACAAGGATTTGGGTGTTAGGTGGAATGAATAGACAAATTCCAGCCAAAGTGATTATTGGCAAGAACAATAAGTTATGCGTTCAAGGTCCACAATTTTTACTTAAAATTTTTACGTTAGTCAGATGAGGTCGCTTAATACTTTTTTTTTTGGTGAGGTAAGTGGGGTTAAGTGACTTGCCCACAGTCACACAGCTAGTGAGTATGTGTCTGAGGCTGCATTTGAACTCAGGTCCTCCTGAGTCCAGGGCCAGAGCTCTATCTACTGTGTCACCTAGCTGCCCCTTGGCCACTTAATACTTCAAAGAACTTTTAAAGCTAAAATTTATAGTTTAAATTAATTTGTTCTAAGAGATATTCCAATTCTAAGCAATTCAAAGGGAGATAATTGTGCCATAGGAAGTGGTACTAGCATCTATTACTTTCCTTTGTAAATAACTTGTGAAGATAAAGACTTTTATCCTTTGGCTTTAAAGTCCCCACTTACACTCCCCCTCCTCACTAGGAAATGACTTATCTCTGTGGATAGGGATAGTTTTTACAAGAAACATTCTTTAATGCACAGAAGTTCCTTAATTCCTTTAAGGGTAGTAGAAACAGAGATCAATCTTATTGGAATTAATGATTAAATTCTACTGCTCTGTAAAACTCCCTAGTATCACACCTTTTAGAGAAATAGGTAGTTTTGAAGGCACACTGTGCCTTAAGATACGAAGACTCCTAAAGTCCAAGCAAAGATATAACCTGGTAAAAGTTAATAATTCACCAACATGGCTTTTAATTTTTAGACAAAAAGCGATAACCTGTAGATACTTTGTTTTAAAGTGAAAAGTTTACGTGTAAATCTGTCCTAAATCCATTCACTATTCCCTCTGTGAACTATTGGGACAAGTTACCTTTGGTAAAAGTATCAAGTTGAATGGAAACCTAACTCTATGAGGTAAGAAGAGTTCGGAGAGAACTAAAGGAAGATAATGGGCACTGCTAGAACCAAGTCCATGCCCATCTGTCAGGTTATGTCCTGCTTTTACATTAAGTAACCACAGGCCTTAGCTATCTCAATTTTCTCTGTAAAGTCACAGTGAATAGGGATTGTTTTATTCTTTGTACTTGTACCTACAGAGCATAGTACAGAGTCTGGCAAACAGCAGGTGCTAAATAAATAGTGTACTGATTGATTTCCCCTGAACTTTTGCTTGCTTCTTCATAAAACCTCCACTAAGGCAGCACACCACCGAAATAACAATGCCAGGATTTTTACCATTATGTACTTGTACTATTCCACTGGTATTTCAGTGTGGTGCTCTTCTGAGGTTGAAACCTCATGTGGTTTTTCAAACTGTTTTTGTTCTAGGAAAAATCATATATTTTGCTGAAAAAAGCACTATGTGAGCAATCCTAACTGCCTAAAAGCTGGATTCCTGATGGAGTCTACAAATTATACTTTTATTCTAAGACTAATGTGTTGATGTCAGAGTGAATCAGCTAAAATAAAATAAATAAATAAATGTCCCCCCTATCCTCCAACAAAGAATCCCACCCAAAACAAAAAGCACAAGGCCAGTTTTAGTAAACAACGAATAGGGAGTCAGTTCCAGGACCCAGGGAAAAAAGCTAGTTTTGATAATACCACATCTTGGACTAGCATTACTGTTCAATAAGCCCAAAAGTTCTGTATCAATTCAAGACTTCCAAAGCCACTTTTGAGAGTCTAATTCAAAATCCCGAAATCAGTTGAAGGCTAAAGAGGAAGTCATATCTGTCATTTAAAATTTTTGTTACTTTGGAAACTGGGTAAATTATCCTGTGGGCTCTGTCTAGTGTTGGGTTCTATAAATGAAGAATGTATAGAGTAAAGCAGACATAAGAGGAAAATCACACTGATTAAAAAGTTGGGAAAATAAGATCTAAGTGAAGAGTTCAAAAAGAACTAATATTACTTAAGCATGAAGATAAGGAAGCTAAAAAGTATGATTGTAAAGCTTATTCAAGGTTATAACAGAGAAGACAGTCATATTTGGGAACTTTATGATATTAACTAATGATGGAAAGGGCTGACACAGGATACTGGAGAATGCTACTTTTGGAACGTTGTGATGGCCTGCTGGTAACCTTGCTTGAAGGAAGATACAGGAAGAAAGAGAAGTTTATTTCAGTCCTATTAAAATTCCAAGCATTAAAAAAAAATACAATGTCTGAAAACTGCATTTTCCTTAGGTAGATTGCTCTAAGGTCCTGCTCAAGAAAGCATTTGTGCTGTCTATGAGAATGAAAAATTGTGTGCAACCTACAGAACATTAAGATCAAACACTGCGCTTATTAATAAAGGAATGGATTCCAAAACCCAAAGAATGACATTTCTTTCACGCTGAACAGTTGCCATTTTTTGTTCTCAGAAGTTGCACATTTGTTGGCAATTAAAAACAACCCTCCCAAAATACTGAAGGATGTGGGCAATGATTCTAACCAGGACATTCAGAAATTAAAACTTTTTTGAGGGTAGGGGCAGAAGAACTGATTAAGATTCCCATGGTGAGACAGATACAATTTCAATCAGATGAAAAACTGCTCAAAGGGTTTCACGTAAACAAAAAATGGAGAAACCATAACTAGGAATATTATGGATGATGCTACTGAATCAATAAAAAGATACCCTCTTAAAGGCAGGAACCTAATTAGTGGCTTTTGTTCTTTAATATGTGAGTTCATGCTTTCTTCCTTTGTCACAACAAAAAACAAAAACAAAAACAACTTTTTCCACTCTGAAGAACAAGGCCCATGAAAAATTCAGGGCCATATAAATGATGAGCCTTCTTTTTAAAGAATCAATTAACCATTTATTAAGTTCCTTCTACATGAGTGGCTCTGTGCTAAGAGCTGAGATACAAAGACAAAAAAAGGCAAAAATCTCTGTTCTCAGGGAGTTTATGTTCTATGAGAGGGGACACCACTACTTTTGAAACTAATTCAGATATTCAGAAGGGCTTCTGGGACCAGAAAGAACATCTTCAAAATACCTACAATACTTTTAACGATTATTCAATTGCAAAGTAACTACAATTAAATTTGCTTCAAGCAAATCAAACAAATCTTTAAAACAAAATGTTTAAATTAAAAAAACATTAAAGGCAACTGAAGACATGACAATATATCAAGTGCTTTTAGGATTATTTATTCTTAGAAGTGAGTAATTTCTCTACATTCATAGGATTTATATTCTTGAAAAGGGGTACAAATGTAGAATTTGTGAATATAGATAGTAAGAATTTACAAAAACAAAAAAGAAATATATACTATATACAACCCTGTATTGAACACAGAGACCCCTGCTGCTCTTGTTACCATGGCTCTGTCACATCTGCATAAACTGGAGTGTCTTTAAATCCTTCCCTATAAAATTCCAGGGCCTTTGCTATAAACAGTAAATAATAATTTTTTAAAAACTCTAAACCTCACGGCTATATAAAACAACAAATAATGATCTTTAAAGTTGCAGCTTTTGGAAATTCATGCTAAAAAGCAGCTTTTGTGATCAATAAAGTACCCTTTAGGTGTGATATTACAAATTTGATGATTTGCTTTAATTAGGTATACACTCAATTCTTTCAAAAAGAGGCCAAAGGTTTTCTGATTTAGACAATTTGCTATTAAGACTGGAATTCGGGTGATTCAGTCAGAATAAGCGAAATAAGTACTCCCTCAAATGAAAACTGCTGATAAATTTTATGCAGATAATTAATGTATACATGAGCCCAGCAAATGAGATGAATTACAATTAAGTCATACAAAATATATACTGCTTTAAGACTGAAGCTTAAAAGCTTCTATTCCCCAAGTAAGACTACTAAACATCTTTGGGAGCCTCCTTCTGGTTATTAATTTTCCCAACTGGATTTGAGATCTTTAATGAAAAGATGAAAAAAGTCATAGGAGGCTAAAGATGAAAGTATAGAACCCCCAAGTATAGAGAGTGGTGATTTTCTGCTTATTTTCACAACTGATTCCTTTTTACTGTTATTACATAAAATATATCACATGCACTAAAACTCTAGGATCACTCACACTTACCTGTATGGCTTATCAGAGCTATGGATTCGCCTGTGATTCCGGACACCAACATAGGTTGTACTTGTGTAATCACACACATCACATTTATATAGTCTCTGGATTGAAGATCTATTACCTAGAATGAGTATTTCAGATATTTATAAGCATCATTTCTTTGAAAAAACAAATCAAAACATTTGATTTCTACTACGACAGTATAAATGGATTTTTCCTCTTTTCTCCCTCTGTACTATCTTGCTTGGTGATCTCATAAGCTCCAATAGGTTCAATTATCATCTCTATGCAGATGATTCCCAGATTGCAGCCCTAATCTCTCCCCTGAGCTCTAGTCTCCTATCAACAATTGCCTTTTGGATATCTTGAACTGGATGTTCCATAAGCATTTCAAACTCAATAAAGCCAAAATAGAAGTAACTATCTTTCCCTTCAATTCCTTTCTTCCAATTTTCCTGTTAGTGTCATGGGTACCACCATTTTCCCAAGTCATTCAAGCTTGAAACCTTGATGTTATCCTTGACTCCTCATCCACCTTATATATTAAATCCATTGTTAAATCTTATAATTTGTGCTTCACTACATCTCTCATACATGCTGGCTTCTGTTCACTAACACTGCTACCTCTAGCACAGGGCCTTATTACCTCAAGCCTGGACTACTGAATTGCTTTCCAATTGGTCCTTCTGCTTCAAGTCTCTCCTCATTCCACACCACCCTCCACTCAACTGCCAAAATGGTTTTCCTGAAGTGTGAGTCTATTTCACTCCCATCAACCCTCATTCAATAGGCTCCAGTGACTCCACATTTAGAATTCAAAATCCTTTACAACCTGACTCCTTTCTACCCTTCCAGCTTTCTTACACAATGCCGTCTTCTTCCCTGCTTTCCATAAGCCTGCTTGAAGCTCCATGAGCACACCCCCAATCTTGTCTCCCTGTCTTTGCATTGACTTCCCACAACTACTCTTCACTGATGCCTCTCCTTTCCCAGGTTTCCTTCAAGACTTAGCTCAAATCTACCCTTCTGCAGGAAATTTTTTCTGGGCTTCCCCACTGCTAGGGTCTTCTCTCTGAACTTACTTCCCATTTGCCCTACATATATCTTGTTTGTTTGTTTTTTTTTTTGGTTAGGCAATGGGGTTAAGTGACTTGCCCAGGGTCACACAGCTGGTAAGTGTTATGTGTCTGAGGTCATATTTGAACTCATGTCCTCCTGAATCCAGGGCCGGTGCTGTATCTGCTCCGCCACCTAGCTGCCCCTCCTACATATATCTTGAAGGTCTGTGGTTACTTGCACGTTGTCTTCCCCCAATAGACTCTGAGCTCTCTAAAGGCAGGGACCAAATTTTTGCCTTTCTGTATATCTGGAGCACTTAGTACAACGCCTAGCATATGGCGTCTAATAAATGTTTGTTGACTGACTGACCTGAGTCTGTGATTTCAACAGTGTAGGAAACCCTTGGTGTGGCTCTACTAATACAGATAAGCAGTGTGTCTATGCTATATAGTCTTAGAGAGCTGCCTGATAGTGTTGAGAGATTAAGGGAGTTGATGACAGTCACACAACTTAACTTATTATGTCCTGCTATCCCTTAAGACTATATTAAATGAATATTCATACCTTCCAGTATTAATATGGTTAACTCAATACTCTTTCTTAGATTCAATTTTAGAGTGAATATTCAAATTCCAAAGTCAGGTTACCTATCCTCTTGTACTCAATCAGTGAACAAAGGCTGAAAAATAATTTTCTGAACCTCAGCAGTGTCAGACAGATTTCTCAATGCCTGTGTACTTAACTCAAGCTGTCATAATGACCATGGGGTACCTTCTAAAGTTTTACAGAGAAACACTACTACTGTTAAGAAACTCAAAGAAGAGCATGAAGGAAATGAATGGCTAAAATCCAAGACCTGTGGTATCATGAAGTGTAGCTACAAAGGATTTGTGAGAAATTCTGTGTAAAAGGCTTAAAAGACCTCTTTATCTCTTTTGTGGAATAATGTACATGGGTGTAAACCCTGTGGATTTCCTTTGTACAGAATATATTTTACTAATTTAATACAAGATCTTATTCTATATATTTATTAATGGATGTAAAGGAACTTCATAAACTGCAAAATATAATTACAACTTTTATAATCTAATGGATAGCATTTAATGAAAATGTATAGCCCTCTAAAATTCAGTAAACATGTCAAGAAAAATGTGTCACTAATAAAACTCTTACATTAGGCAGATAGCTCAGTGCCTAGCTACTTAAAATCAGGCTTAGCCAATGGCAATAAACGGTCTTTACCAAAAGAAAGCAGGTTGGGGCCCAGCTGAATAACTTGGTCTCATTTTAGTCCCCTACGCATAGTATAAAGCTTTCTCAACACAATTAGCATTTCTGTTGGCAACCACAACATTGAGAACAGACTGTACAGAGGACTGAGTGTTTCGATTCCAGAACCAATCTGAGTACTGAAGCACAGTGTTAAGGCAAAGCAGAGAAGGGTACGTTATTGTGCAACATTTAGAAGAAAAAAGGCTTAAGGAAGAGACTATTGCATGATTTATAAAACTAAAATAACACAAAAGAAAACCCACGCTGAAATTTCAAAGGAACAAATACAAGTTAAATTAAGCTTTCAAAATTTGAAATTTCCTTTTACTAATAATTACTACCAAGCTGAGCAGAATGTCCTGATAAAATTCTATAACATTAATATACACACTAATCATAATTATAGTCTATTTAGATATGCTCTTAATTGGTAGGTTAAAAACTTGGACACAGTTAAGAATGGCACTGTTCCACACACAGTAAAGGGAAAAAAATGTGACTGATGATCTTCCTGTAAGAAATGCTGCAGAGCTATGACAATAAAATGACACCCCAGAAAGAAAAAAAAGCCACCATAGCAAAGAATAAGAAATCCCACGCCATTTCAAATAATTGTTTCCATGAAAATAACTGAGTGAAATCCTGCCATTTTCCTGTTCCTTTGCCACAAAGTCTTCCACTTTTAGAATGAGGGCACAGTGCACATCTGTATTGGTTGGGTAATATCCAAACTATAAGGATAGGGGCTGGACTTGGGATTTTATTAATACTGAGGGACTGCCAGCTGAGGAAATTCCCTCTACTAATATAGGTTGATAATTTCTCAGCAACTTATCATAGAACTGAGAGTCATAGAACTGCCTAGAGCATTAACAGGTTAAGTGCTTGTCCAGTAATAATATAACTAGAATGTTTTTAGAAAAATAATTTCTGTCCAATACCTGTTCTTTGAACAAAAAGAAACTACATTTGCAAAAAAGCTGCTTCCTTTACTTTTGTGGCTACTATAGAATTACTCAAGCACATTAAGTACGGACAACATTTGTAGCCCTTTGTGTTTGGGCAGAATGCACCAATTACATTTATCTTGTCCTATCAGACAGCAAGTTCATGTACAGAGAAATGTATTAATTCCTCCCTAATTTTCATGAAAGTGTGACAAAAAATTTATGGAAAATTTTCTTTAATTAACAAAAAAGACACACATATATATGCTTATGTGAGAATGTTTGTCAACTCAGTAACTACAAAACAAACAAGCTTAGAGAAAAAAACAAATTGAGTAGCAAAACGGTGAGTACAGTGACATATAAAACTATTATTAGGCAAAACAAAACATAACAGCATGTTCAACAAGGAAGATACAGAAAAATGGGACATGGCAGAAGTTTTCAAAATAACATAGTAGAAGTCTAGAAACAATTAATTAGATATTGAGCTTGCATTTGTGTTTACCTTTTCAATATGGTTTTGGAAACTATAACATCCTAAGTTTAGTTTTGACAACAGGCGGTGCGATAGTATAGCAGCCTACTTTATTCTTTCAGTAGACATTTAAAGCCCAATCATATCCAACGGCATAATGTTTGCATGAAAGAGGATGTGCAAACATGATGAATTAAAGCAAGACAAGGCATTTAGGGCTATTTCATAAACAAGAAACAGAACTGTTTTATCTCCGACATCTATCGCAGAAACAGATGCTCTATCATAAACGCTTTTGTTCTGGTTGGATTTTATAGGGATGACATCTGTTTGACAAGAGGATTCTGGTGCTACAGTGGTGTCACAATTTGATTCTAAAATGTTTTTGAAACAACTATTATGCATTCGAGGGTATAATTTAATGGAACATTATTGTAGCACATTTCACTCGGAAGTAGTGTTTTTTAACTTCAATTCTTAGGAAGTTAAAAAAAGGAGTTTGCCCTAATATGTTTTATCTCACATAAACCCTATCTACCATGCTGCTAGAGACATTTAGAGTATATCAATTAAAATGATCTGATGAGAAGCAGCCCTGCTTATTAGAGTTTATTCTAATGTTCTTGGGTATGGTGCCTGCCTTTTCATGGAATTCTAATTAGGTTTTTTACTTCTAACACAGTATATTAGCAAAAACACAGCCCATTAGTAACTATTACAATACAGCTAGAAATTTCTAACTTGATCTTCTACAAACAATACATATGAAACCTGGCAGTTATACTAGGGTTTATAGTTTGAGTAAGAGCACAGCAGGAAGATGCTGCTAAAGCTTGAGGTGTGGGACCACCATCTGCAATGTAATCTTCTCAACAGGGGCACTCAGCATCATGCTGACAAAAAAAAGGTACAGAAAAAACTTCAGGCTTCCTATTTCTGAATTTACAGGGCTGAATGTGATGCATAAGGAAAGTGTCTTATGGAAAGGAGGCATTTTGAAACCAGTCACCTTTTTGAGTTTGCTTTGTGAACAAGATTTAAATTGAGAATAAGCATATGCAATGTCAAGGCACTGATTATTCTAGTAGTGACACTTATACAATCTAGGTACATCTAAGAATATATTTGGACTTCCTCGTGGTCAAAGGCCAGAGGCCCAAGGTTTTTCTTTGGAGAAATCTACCTAATAGGCCATGTTTCTCCACACACCAGTAAAAGATTTAATTTTGTATGCAGCACATGCAAAAAAAAAAAAATTGAGTACCTTCCCGAACACATTTTCCTTCAGCTGCCTCATTTGAAACTATTGGTTCATTTGGATTTACTTTTGACAAGTTATCTGGAACACTATGTCGCTCTCTCTCGTGGTTCCTCAGCTGGCTCTGGAAAGTCGAGAGAAGTATGTTACTTTCAAAAAAAAAAAATACACACACAAAAATATACATTTGAAAAACAAAGCTCTTCAGATATCCCTTATAAATACAATTCTGTTAGTCACAGACAATGAGATTCAAGGAAAAATAACTGGAGAAACTACAAGAACAAAAACTATTTTCTTTTTAGATGTCTTTTAAAAGAACACTACCACTACTTTTTGTGCGTATGTACAGTGAATTGTATACATATACACACATAATCAGATATAAAATCACTGGTAGATTTTCACAAGGAAGAAACCCCTCTGATTTACATATTGTAACTTTCTGAATAAGAATAATACCCTCACAATGAAAATTAGCTAGAAATTTGTAACTGTTAACTAACTTTTTCCTTTGGCATTTTTAGAGATCCCTAGTGTGAGTACCTTCCTCTATCAAGGCAGATCACAACCCTTCTATATTTTAAAAGAGCTGCCCTGGCTGAAATATTCATCCCAAGAGCCAACCTTCTGGTGATGAATCTCTCTAAAGTTAGCTTGGTTGGTCCTAGGCTGACAGACATGCAGTCTGTCACCAGCCCAGCTTTGAATCCTTCTTCCCTGCTGGGTGGATTGTACTCTGCTGGCATAAGCTTTCATGTCCTCAAGAGACATCCAAGGAAGATTTAAGTAGATAGATTTTTTTTTCCTCTTAAATTTTTTTTTAAAAAGGTATCAATTTGAATCTTTTACTTTGATGCCCCACAAGATGTGGAACAAAACTGACATAATGACTAAACTGAATAACAAAAGAAATGAAGGTGCAGACACGTTCTAAGAATAAATCTTCTTATTTGAATGAGTTGCCTGTCCAGAGGTCCTAATTGTTTTACAAGTGTCTTGAGGAAAATCCATTTTTTAAAAGTTTTACCCTTGTTTTAGCTATCAATTTAAATGTTACCATTTGCCTTCTCACCACCAAGGGTTTCAGGTCTACTCCAAGGCAAACTGGCTGGGAAAGTTTGTATTGCAACTACCCCTTTGGAAGCTATACTGAATTTTTAGAGTGATCACCTAGCATCTACGTCTGGTTCCAAACCATGAAGTGACTTGTCCCAGGTCACAGAGATGATACCATACATGAAATTCAAACCTAGGTCCTACACTCCAACTTTAACCCACTAGACGCTGTCTAATTTACACCCTACCCTCAAACCATGATAGCCAAATAAGTTAAACTCAAAGAATAGGGCTGAGAAATAGCCATTAGACCTCTGAGCTCTAACAAAAATAAATTTTGAGCATGTAGGAACTAATGTTCATGTTCATTGGTAAACTGACAATAATTCTACTTCAATACAAGCTGATAATGGAATGGATTTTTAAATGTCCTTCCTCCCCACCCCAAATCCTTTTCCTAAAAAGAAAAGGGTCAGGACTAACAGGAGAAATTTCAATTGTTTTTAAAAATCACATACTTAGGTGAAGCATCTTGAAGACAGCAGGTATTCAACAAATGTTTGCTTAACTAAACTAGTGGGAAAAAATCCAATTTTAAGGATGGGAAAACTAGAGAGCAGAGAGTTTACATATTGTGATCATGTGCTGCTGATGAGTTATTTGTAATAACATTTAATGCATTGCTGGTTCTTAGCCTTTGGAATGGCTACTGATGGTCCCATGGGATCCAATATTAGTTGATCATCAAACTATTCTTTGTCATCCTTGCTATACAACATGCGACATTGTAGAAAGATTTGCCTCTATCAAAATAAGTAACATGCAGAAGCTGTCAAGAAAGCAGCTTCTGAGAAGAATGCTGGACTAGTAGTCAGAAAGCCTGGGTTCTAGTCTCAGTCTTGTCACTAAGTAGTCCTGTGACCTTGGACAATAAGTCCCATAATCTGTACAGGCTCAGTTTCTTTTTCTATCTGTAAAATTAGTGGGGTGGGCTATGTGAGCTCTAAGGTCCTTTCTAGTTCTGACATTATGATTTCATGAAGTGATTTCACAAGGAAAAATGTTTACCTTATAATGAAAAGATTCTTCACACCGTTTGCACTGGTACATCCTGGTTTTACAGTGGTTGATCATGTGGCTCTCTAGATCCTTGCTGTTGTCAGCTATGTGCTCACAAATAGGACACTGGTAAGGCTGTCTCTGCCGGTGGACTCGCAAGTGCTGTTTAATGTAGCCCTTGTTACCACTAGTATAGTGACATAACCGGCAACGGTATGGTCGATCAGCATTAGGGATAAATTCTACCAAGTTGCTTCCAGGCAAGTTTGCATCACCAGTCGGCTGACTCTGGGCGTTGTCCTGCAGTTCTTTCAAAATGTCATCATCTGAAGCATTCTGGTCTGTCCTTTCCCTCAATTTTTCAATTACAGTGAGCAGGGACATGCTGATACCCATTTTAACAGGAACTTCTGATAATTCCTGTTTGTTCTCTGTAAGTTCTACCAATGTAGAGTCACTTTGGTTAAAGCTAGTTAACACTTCTGAAGAGTTAAGTGGAGACATCAATTTAGAGTAAGCTGCTATAGTACTTTCAACTTGTCGCTGCCCAGTATCTGGATCTAAAAGGTTTACATCTCCATAGTGCCCAAGACTGGCTCGTGTTAATTCTGCAGCCCTTATAGGCATTGTTACTAGAGCTTCTGCTGCTAAGGAATGCAGGCGCAGGGACTCAGAATTTGTCCTTCTCCGGCCTGGAGGGGCATTCTCATCAGCAGCCAGAACTTTATTTGAGATTATCTCACTGTCTTTCTTCTCAGGATTGCTCCATCCTATGATCACCTCTTCAATTTCGACAGTGCTTTTATCACTATGATAAACTTCATCTGTTTCTTCATGCACAATCTGGGTTTTTGTGGAGATCAGGTTTTTTTCCTCTTCCATGTCCGTATTCATCAGAAAAGGTTTTTGTAATACTGTTTCTTCAGCACTAGGCAAACGTTCCACTATAACATTAACATGACCTTTTTTATTTGGGCTGCAGTTAATGATTTTCTGTGCTGATGAAAGTAGGCTATCAGCCATCAGACTGTCCTCTGTATCAGACATCACCTCCAACATTTCTTCTCCACTGGGGTCAAGGGTAGCTGACTGTCTTAGGCTTCCACTTACTTCTCTATTTTGTTCAATAGATCTGCATGACAGCTGCTCTGAACTACAGATCTGCACCTGAACAGACTGCCCATTATGAATACCCAGCTCATCATCCTCTAGAGCAAGAACTACTGTTTCAACCCTTTGAGCTGAGGTAGCTAAAGAGTCTGACAAGCCCAGAGTCTCATTTTCCTCTTCAAAAATTGGATAGGAACAATCCACTTCCCCTGCATGCTTCCAAGCATGTGTTTTCAACATTCTCTGCTGACCACAAGTATAACTACAAATCAAGCATCGGTACATGCCATACTGCTCACATGTGTACCATTTTCTCCTCCCCATTTCTGCAACAGAAGCAGCTCGGATTGTTTGCATGTTGCTATTGTCCAAGTTCACAGTGAGGTCCGCAACTGTTTTGAGACTCCCTTCTATTGTTCCCTGAATTGAGGGGTTGGAGAGGCCAGTGCACTGCTGACCTTTGGATTCAATAGGAGTTTTGGCATCATTTCCATGGTAATTTAAAATGTGAGCTTCAAGTTCTTCTTGGCTCTTGGATACAAAATGGCACTCAGAGCACATTAAGATCACTTCATTCTGCTGACCATGCTGTTTGATATGCTCTTTTAACACAGACAAAGAAGAAGATAGGAACTTACAAAGACTGCATTGGTAACACATGGTCTTTCTATTATTCTGTGGAAAATAGTCAGTGATATAATAATCTGCTTGCAGCTCCTCAGTCCTTTTGGTGCCAGTAGCAGGTAGTTCAATTGTTTTGGCTGGAATCTCACAAAGGTCTTGCGTTTCAAGAGAAAGCACTGAAGCATTTGGATGAGAGCGTTTTTTCCCAATTAAAAGGCATCTTTGTGACTTTTCACTTTCTACAATCTTGCTCAATTTCTGGATAACATCAATAAGTGGATCTGTTTTATATTTTCTCTGTTCATCACCTATTTCCAATGATGGACTGATGACAGTTTCAGAAATCAGTACAGCTTCTTGTTCACCAATACCTGGTACCAATACTGCAACACTGCTGGTATCTTCCATGATATCTAAGAGGTAATATTGTACAACAGAATAAAATGTCAGGTTACAAAAAAATTACTGTTATGTTTTAAATTTTTATTATCAAAAATATTTAACAAGAACAAGAGACCAGCATTGTTTAACTATTTAAAGTTATAGTGCCCATATTTTAAATATTGCACCATGTATCTGGCTGCTGCCCTAGTTACTTTATGTAGTTTTACAGGTCCTCTCAAAAATAAGACCTTCTAGCTCTTTATCCTAAATTAACTTTAACCTCTCCACCTTTCCTTCCCAATAATGTGACTCCACAGGTTTTGTGCTGTCTTTATCCCCTTACTTGATCCCTGTTAATTTTTCACTCACATTTTGTCCCATTCTCATAGCTCCTAAAGAAGTAGTCCTAACTTTCTGGATCAAAAAATGAAACACTGCCATAAAGATAAGAACATGGAATCCCTATACCAGGGGTGGGGAACCTGTAGCCGTATGTGGCCCTAAGGTGACCTAAAGGTCCTCAAGTGTGGCCCTTTGATGGAATCCAAACTTCACAGAACAAATCCCCTTAATAAAAGGATTTGTTCTGTAAAACTTGGACTCAGTGAAAAGGTTGTACCCAAGGACCTAGAAGGCCATATATGGCCTAGAGGCTGCAGGTTCCCCACCCCCTGCCGTATACTATCAGTGCATCTCAGAGCATTTTGAAATAGCACTATAAATAGCCAGTATAGGATTGACAACAAATAATTCTCAAACTTCTTACTCCATGTCATTCTGACTTTAAGAAAAATAAATACAGAAACTTCTAGCACAAATTTCTGCTAGTTTCCTGATATAAAATTCTTTTTGGAATTACATAAGTACAGAAACGTATTATATTATAAACTACTGTATTTTTACTATACAAATCAAACTAATGAAAAAACAATGAGTCCAGTTCCTTCTTTCACTTCCTTTGAAATAACCCAAGGATAAACCACAAACATTACTGTGGTTTTTTTCAGAGGTCCAACAGTTGAGTGATGAACTGTTGAATGGGTTTCTGGAAATATGCATGGATTTTGCTTTCTCTGAAAGCGGTGAGGGAAAAAAGCATTATGTTTTACCCACGCTACAGGTCTAGACATGTGTATGGGCCTAAGCAGGAATTAACTGTGGTCTCTAACCTATACTTTACAAAGCACTGTGGACAAAGCAGTCACTTTACCAGTTCAGAAATTCTTATGCACTTGTTTATTAGAAGAGGTCTAGACTATATTTCCTCGAAGTGCTTCCCCTTCAAACATCTCAACTGACTGAAATCGAACTGAAGTTAAATTGTTAATTTGGATTTCAATTTTCTGTGTAGGCTTTCCCCCTCATTACCACACCATTCTTCATTTTAGCCAGGTATACTATGGAGTTTTTATTCATGTGTTCCAAATGTCCAAGAATGGTTAAATCTTTACTTGAGCCTTGCCCCAAGCCTACAGGTCCCAAGTCAGGAATGAAAAAAAAACCAAACCAGAAACAAAAATAACCCCAACCCCCTCAAAACCAAAATTTTCTTTATTGCCTTTCCAAGCCATTCAAGTTCAGATTGTTCTATATATTGGTAGAGAGCTAAAGCTTTCTACATGACTGTTGGCATATGCCTGAATTTCTGGAGCACACTATTCATACTTTTGTCATACATGTATCATATCCTACTTCATATTATAGTAGTCCGTATACATGTTCAGAAGACCACAAGTCTCTCGCAGAAGCTGTTTTGGTCTATATATCCCGAGTGTCTAGTATATTGCCTTACATATAGTAGGTAATTAATGTTTGTTGAACTGAGTTAGTATCTTATTTCTCCCAATATATTTTAAGCCTCCCCAAGGGCAGAAATTGTGTTATTCATTTCTTTTGCCTTGCTCAGGGATGGGGAACCTGTGGCCTCGAGGCCACATGTGGCCGTCTAGGTCTGCAAATGCAGCCCTTTGAATGAATTCAAACTTACAGAACAAATCCCCTTAATAAAAGGATTTGTTCTGTGAAGTTTGGGTTTAGTCAAAGGGCCTCACTTGAGGACCTAGAGGGCCATGTGTGGCCCCCGGCCTTGCTCATTACCTTGCTCTTACCCCTACTTCTATGAATCCAGTTATAAATCAAAAATTGATTAGACAATGAATTTAACTCTTTGGAACTTTGAAAGTTCTTTAAACAAGAAATTCAGAAGTCCCTTGAGATTCTAATGATCATAATTTTGAAAGAATAAATTACCATGAAAAGTTACATCCCTGCAAGTTGATCTACAACACATATGCAAACAAGTAAGAATTGGCTCAATGTACTCTACAAGGTACAAAGATGACTTATACTATCTTTCCTCTACTTGATAATATAATAGAAGGGAGACAAAGCAATGTAAATTGTTCCCAGTGAATGTTTCTTTGTATATTCCTAAGGAAGCAAAAGGGCAAAGATGAGAAAATTCACCTTATGACAAGAAAAAAATTAATACAGAAAACAATGACAAAACAACTAAGTTTTAGAATCTGCTGTAGCTTAAGTAGAAATAGGAATTAGGAGTTAATGGAATTTTAGAGCAATTGCTTGAGATATGAATATCAACTTCATGGCTACATAAGATTTGGGTATAGGAATGACAGCCATAAAACCGGCATGACAATGTAAAGGATAACAAGAAACACCTGAATAACCAGTCTGGATTCACACAAAGTTTTTAAAAAGTCAAATCACATTAAAACAAAAGTCACTGGGGGAAAAAGCAAAAGGCTGGATCACTTTATTTAAGAATCAGTGAATTACAATAGTGGAAAATGACATGTACTCTCCGTGGTAATCACTCTAATAGGCAATTCTGCTTAACTGTTTTTGGAGTCTATACTTTGTAGGGCTATGCTGAGAGTGTCTGTTGTTGGCACTACAGCTTGTTATATAAAAACACATAAATAAAAATATTTTTATAATTAAAATATGCTGAACCAGCAGCTTATATAAAAGTGGGGAAGGGGAAGAGGAAAGAGGGGTGGAAGGAAAAAAACAAGTGATAGTACCTTAAGGTCTGCTCTTTTGAATTTTCCAAGTTATGTCACTTTACTTGGCAAATGTGGGTATATTTCAGGCACTGGAGCTGTGGATCTTTACAAGTCCAGGGATAGAACAATAATACACCTGAAAGATAAGGGGATAGAATAAACAGGTTTAAATACTTCCTTCTGAGTTATGGCAAGAAATAGTACTTTTATACATGAAAACCTCCCTATACACAAGATGGTATATGAAAATGTCAGACAAATTATATAGACTATGAATGCCAAACAATTTCAAAGACAGATAAGATTACTCCTGGCTAACAACACACCAAAATGATTCCCAGAGAAGGTAGGCCATAAACTGACCTTTGAACGATGAGTAGGATTTGATAAAAATGCAAAGTCAGCAATATTTAAATCAAAATATTAATTAAATTTAAATGTTAATTAAAACAAAAATCAGCCAATATTTATCAAGTACCTAATTTGTGTAACACACTGAATTAGATCTTGAAAGGGATACAAAGCAGTATATGACATAGTCATTGCCCTTAAAGAGCTAATTTTACAGCAAGGGTTAAGCAACCACTATAAGATAATAATGTAAGAGGCCACAAGGCAGTTCACAAATACTGGCGTTCAGAGGAAGGAGATCACTTTGGACTGGGCCGATAGCTTCTGAGAGGAGGTGAGATTTAAGTTATTCAAGGAGACAGGACTTGAATAGGTAGAATAAAGGTGTTAGGGAGTAGTGATGCCATGTGGGTAATTCTACAAAGGTGATAATAAACATAATGTGTTTGGAGAAAAGCATCCAGGTAGATACTTGGGAGGTATGGTAGATAAGGCTGTAAATGTAGGTTGGGGCCAGACTGAGCAGGGACTTAAATGGGCTAGGAAAGTTAAAATTCTTTATGTTGTAGCACATAGCAAAGTACCTAACAGTTCTTAGCAGGGATGCCTTGTTTATAGTAGGTACTCAATAAATATATATTGAACAAATGACTATGAATGTATAAAAATCTACTCAAAACACGTAAAGTTGCTAAAAACGTGAATCTCAAAGTAACCATGCATGCTATACAATTTTCCTAACCAGAATTCTTAATTTTCCAAAATGGTGAAACGCTTATAATTAAAGTCTTTCTCAAGCTAAGTGAGAACCAATCTATTCCAATTGTCTTAATTTTCTTACAATTTACTATCCAGTTTATATTAGCACTTAATTACACTATGGTAACCACCAAAAAATAAAGGCGAACCATTCATGTGTTATTGGATGAGTTGGATAAATAGTAAAATTTTCTGTGCAGATGCAAGAAGATACAGTTTAACATACTAAAAGGAATGCCTCTGATTTCTTCAAAACTTCACAAGCAGCATCTTCCCCATGAAGTCTTTCTTGAATAAATACATTATTTATTTACATGTTGTCCCCCTTAATGGGAAGTAAGCATCTTGAGAGTAGAGACAATTTCATTTTGTCTCTGTATCTTTAGTGCCCAGTACAGTGGCTAGTACACTGCAGTTGCTTAATAAATGTAACTGATAACTGTCAAAGGTGAAGATTACATATGGACGATGGGCAGGCCAGATCTATTAGTAAGTTAATCAGTCACACTCATATTTCTATTATCAACTATAATCATGTTTATTTGAATTAAGATAAGTTCATGCATTAAAGAACCGTGAATTTTCTAGGAAGGTCCCAGACTCTCAGTATTTTCACAAGACTTCTGTAAGAAAGGTTCAGTTCTAACTTAACTAACTGATAAGTCCCGTCATAATAGAACCATCATGGATATTGTCTCTTGTTTTGGTGTCAGAATAATAAATGTTTAAAGTGACCAACCTTAAAGTTCACCGAGTAATACAGATTCTTTAACTGAAAAGAAGAGGAAGAGGTCTGGATCTTTCAAATCAAATAAATGTTGAAACTAATAAAGTTACAAGTATGAATTTCCAAAGTTAAGTCATAGCCATGACTGAAAATGCACAGATTCAAACATTTCTTTTCCAAGATGAATAAATTAAGCCTGAACAAAAATATGTATAAAGTATTTAGCTCCAAACTACTTAGAGTTCAGGGAAATATTTACATAGAATAATCAAATTACGTGATATAAACATATCTTAAATATAAATAGGCCAAGATTTTAAAAAAAGCTAATACGTAAAAAAGAAAAAAAAAATCCCCCAAACCACTATAAACCTCTCCATCTACATGTAGAAGTGAATATGCACTCTGCACCTTATTTCACAGCTGTTTTTGTTCTCAAAATGTTATCTACTGTTTTTATCTAACTGGCTGAATACACTTTCTAAAAGATTTAAAAGTTAGAAACTCAGTGAGTTTCTGTGCAAATTTCAAACAAAAAAACCTATCTGAATCTAAAGGTGATACCATGAATCTCATAACTGTTCTTTACCTAAAAGTCACAAACAACAGAGAAATGTGACACAAGTGGTTTGTCCTATATATTTGTTAAAATAGAGATATTTGTTCTTCAATTCTATAGCTTCTGTCTCAGTCTCTTACATTAAAAAAAGAGAAAAGAAATAACTTCCTCTTTAATTATAACCAGGGAGAAAAAAAAATTAGAACAGAACCCCTGGATGTTTTATTTAGTTAGCAACTACCCCCTCCCTTCCTGTTAAGTAAACAGTTCACAGGCCCAGGGGAAAGGGAATTTTCTGAGCTTTGAAGGTTAACGTTAACCTTCCGGTACACTGGAGAAGTAAGGCCTTCTGGATAGATTTTCTGTTCTAAATTACTGGGAGCATCCTGCAAAAAGAGATAGGCACCAAAGACTGAAGACAGGATAAAGACATATCTATTAATTAGAGGATAGATCAATATAGCTTGATATCCTCCAAAACAAAGACTAAAAAGATGGCCCCATAGGGTGAAACAGAGAACTCAACCAATGAGTCATCCAGACCTCCCCTACTTTCATTCACTCAGACAAGCCCCAGGGCTGGGAAGGGCCCCAAACCAGACTAGAGCAGGCAGGCCTGGAGACTTAGGAAACTCATTCCAGTGAGAGTGTAAAAAGTATATAGGCATTATCCCCAATCTACAAAATGAGGGGATTGGGCTAGTCCATCTCTTAAGTACTTTCTAGCTCTAGACTAGAGGAATACTCACAGGAGCAAACCCCTGTGATTTCAGTCTCAGATTTTCAACAGCAAACATGGAGTCATTAATAAGAAACCAAACTTTGTTCATCACAGTAGTTTAATAAATGGTTATTGAATGAACAATTAGGCAATTCAATTCAACAGGCCCTTAAGAGCTAGTTTGTGGCCAAACGCCTCTGGGGGAAATGGTGTAAAAAGACAAGAAGAACTGTGCACAATAAGTCACAAGAATAAGTGAAACAGTATGGGAAAGGTAATTTCCCTCTTTAAGGTTGGTAGAACTGGGGATTTCATGGCATTAGACATGACCATGTTGCTCAGTTTCAATCCATATCGCCTTGGACTAGTTGCTGAATGTTTCTGGGGACTCGATTCTGTCATCAGTAAAATGGGGGTAATATGAGGGCCCTCTCACAGTTTAACTAAGAGGTTCAAATGATTAGTAACTTAATATCATGAAAAATGGCCATACTATAGATAGGGTGTAAGGAGGCCTTGGTTGGGTACTTTGCCTCCTATCTCTGAACCTGTTAAAATATTTGAATAACTGTAGTACTTTGTAATCCTCCATAGGCTAAGAGACTGCCCAAGGGGTCCACGACAAAAACGGTTAAGAACACCCGCCTTAGTTCAAATCTCAGCCCTGACGCCTTCTAGTAGCATGGACCTGAACAACTGTCTTCAACTCCCTAGGCCTCAGTTTCCTCCACCTGTAGTAAGGGTAGAATAGGAAAGCTAGTGTGGCTCCAGACTGCTCTGGGGTCAGGGAGACCTAGGTTCAACTCCTACCTCCAAACACACACTGGCTGGGAGACCTTGGCTAAGTCCCTTTTCCAATTCGTTGTACCAACCCTACAAGGTGCAGATCTGCATTAGTGGAAGGGTTCTCCTCAATGGGAGGAAGCGAACAACCCTCAAGGAGACAGCCGACCACCCCCGCCCTCCCGACCTCGCGGGCCGAGAGGATTACCGTTAGTTACGGGTCGAGGCTCAGGAGTTTTCCGCAGCTGCCGGGATGCGGGGCGGAGCATCCCCTTCACCTCCCCGCAGCCCGCGCTGCCCCATCCTCGGAGCTGGGAAGGAGAAGCGGCGGGGGCGGCCTGAGGGGGGGCGGGGGGACGCGGGGGACGCGGGGGGACGCCGGGGGGGGCGACGGCACGCGGAGGGGGCGGCGGCACGTGGCGGGGGGGCACGCGGGCGCCGGCACACGGTAGGGAGCACGCGGACAAGAGTGGGGGGGAGGGACGCGCGGGCGCCGGCTCGTGCGGCAGGACACTGGAGGCGGCGGGCTTGAGGCCCAGGTTCCCGCAGGCGCGGCGCGGAGGCACATCCGGAGGCCTGAGGCGTTGGAAGAGGGGAGGATGCCGGGCAACCCCGGGCGGGCGCGAACGAGCAAGGGCGGGACTGAGGGCCGGGACCGCTCGAAGCGGAGGACTGGAATGACCGGGGCGAGGGGGTGGTGCTGGGGGGCAGTGGGTCGTGATACCTGCGGGTCCAGCAGCTTCGACAGCGGCAGTTGCCCCTTCCCCGGCGGGTCCTCCGTCCGGGCCGCTCGAGAGCCTTCCCCCCCAAACACACGCTCCCCTCCCTCCACGTCGCTCCCTCCCTTTTCGTGGAAAAAAAAAATTAAAATTAAAAAAATATTTTTTTCCTTTCCCCCTACTACTTTCTCCCCCCTCCCCAACTTGGGCTTCAAAATGGCGGTGATGGAGACGAGATCACGTGATTAGCGGGCCGAGTCAGGTGACCTCCTGAGGGTGTGGGCTTCGGGGCTCGGGCGGGGGAGCGGCGAAGGAGGGAGGTTGAGGAAAGGGCTGGGCGGGGTCTGCGGGAGACGGGGCGGGGATCCGGGGCGCGATTTCTTCCGCTCCTCCACCGGTTGGGGAGACGTGGGAGCCCAGACTCGGGTTCGCGCAGCTAGTTGCGCTACCGGCTTCTCCCATCTTTCTCCGTCCCCCGTTTCCCACGGCCAGGAGGGAGTCGAGCTCCACGCTGCCTCCGAGGTTTTCAGGCGGGGCCACATCCAGGCCTTCCCAGGACTGGGCGACACGACACTTTTTCTTTGCGTTCCTCTCAGAAGCGGGCCCCACTCAGCCTCTTTTGGCAGCCCTAGGATGCTCTGCTTGGAACCTGTCTGAAGGAAGGCGTGGTAGCGTGCAGGTGACCACGGCCCAGGGTGTCATGATTTACATCCAGCTGTGCATCGTCTGTTTCTGTCCATGTTTTTTCCCCTCTTCAGATTATGAATGCTCTTCCAGAGAGATGAGAGCATCTTCTAGAATTCATCTTGTATTGCCCCTTATCTCCTTGGATCATAGAATTTAGAGTTGAGAGGGGTCCTTGGGGTACAGTGTGAAGAGAACTGCATCTGGAACGTGGTTTCACAAATTCTGGTTCTGATTACTTACCACATTTGTAACTTTGGGAAAGACTGGTCACATTACCTTTTAAAGTCTCCATTTCCTTTCCAAAAGGAGAGAGATGAACTAGATGATCATGGGATTTAAAGCTGGAAGATTCTATAGAGATCTTGTAGCCTCACAGACATTAAATAACATCCAAAATCACACAGGTAGTAAGAGGAATCCAAATGGATGTCCTCTATTTCCAAATTCAGTACTCTTTTTATTGCTTATAACTATGGTCAGTCAACAAACATTTATCAGACGTTCTAGACCAGGCAGTGCAGTGGTCACTGGGTACAAAACAAAAAGAAAACAGTCCCTGGTACCTTTTACTTTTAAACCGTATGATAAATTGGGCATTTCCTCTTATCATCCAGTAGAGTCTCCATAAAGGCAGTTTAAAACAGCTGGCCTTCCAAGGCTATTCTAGATTAGAATGCCACCTCTTAAAATTCCTCCGGATCATGTCTATGCACTCAATTACTATTCCTGCCACCTTAAACTAGTTACTTGATAATTTTTGATTCTTAGTTGTTGGGTTTTTTTGGTAATTGGTTAAAAAAAAAAAAGAGATAGTACCAGGCTTACTTTCCTCACTGGATAACTGTGAGGTTCAAATGATTAATAACTTGATAACAATATTAAAAGTGGCTACACTGTGGACCTAGAGTAAGGAACCCTTAGTTCAGGGGCTATTTAACCTGGGGTCTATGATTAAATACTAGGCATCTCCCTCCAGGGCCAGAATTTAACCTGTTTATGAGTCTGTGAAGCAGTAGAATTGGAGAGCTGCCATTATTCCATCCAAATCCTACATTTCATGGTTAGTACTGGTATAACCTTGGGTGAGTTATTTAGCCTCCCTGAGCTTCAGTTTTCTCATCTGTAAAACGAAGGGGTTGGACAGTGGTCTCTGAGTTTCCCTCCCACTCTAAAAATATGGCCCTCTCATGATATACCTTTGCATCACAACGGGACATGGATTCTTTTGAGTTGGTTATAATTTGAATAGCTCCTGACCATGTGGGTCCAAAACTCTCAGGAGAAAAGAATTGCCATGTAGGTAGTATTACTTCATCACTTCAAGGATCTGTGATTAAGTATGAATCTTCATAAATTGCTATAGGTAGTCTTTTGGTGATAAATCCTTTCAAACTTAGCTAGAGTGGTTGCAATTATAGATACACTTGGTTGGACCTACCTGTGCTCCACTAGCATAGTCTCAGTGAAACCTCAGGGTTACTTCCATACTACAAAGAGGTATCTTAATAGAATTTTTAAAAATTAATTTATTTTTAGTTTTCAACATTCATTTCCACAAGATCGTGAGTTCTAAATTTTCTCTCCATCTCTCCCCTCCCCTGACCCCAAGATGGACTGCATTCTAAATACCCCTTCCCCTGATCTGCCCTCCCTTATATTACCTCCCCTTCTCTTATCCTCTCCCCCTTCTGTTTTCCTTCAGGATAGATTTCTATACCCCACTGCCTGTGTATCTTATTTCCCAGTTGCATATAAAAACAATTTTTTTAACATTTGTTTTTAAAACTTTGAGTTCTAAATTCTCTCTCTTCCTCCCTGCCCACCCACCCTCATTGAGAGAGAAAGCAACTCCACACAGGTTATACATGTGTAATCATGCAAAACACTTCCATAATAGCCATGTTGTGAAAAACTAACTATATTTCCCTTCATCCAATCCCACTTCCCATTTATTCTATTCTCTCCTTTGACCCTGTTCCTCCTCAAAAGTGTTTGCTTCTGATTACCCCCTCCTCCAATATGCCCTCCCTTCTATCATACCTCCCTCACTTATCCCCTTCCCCCCTATTGTCCTGAAGGGTAAGAAAGATTTCCATACCCAATTGAGTATTTATGTTATTCCTTCCTTAAGCCAAATCCAATGAGAGTAAGATTCATTCATTTCCTCTCACTTCTCCCCTTTCCCCCTCCATGGTAAAAGCTTTTCATTCTTTTATGTGAGATAATTTACCCCATTCTACCTCTCCCTTTCTCCTTCTCCCTGTACAATCCTCTCTTACCCATTAATTTTTATTTTTTAGATATCATCCCTTCATATTCAACTCATCCTGTGCCCTCTGTCTATATATATTCCCTCCTACTACCCTAATACTGAGAAAGGTCTCATGAAGTTACAAATAGCATCTTTCCATGTAGGAATGTAAACAATTCAACTGTAATAAGTCCCTAATGATTTCTCTTTCCTGTTTACCTTTTCATGCTTTTCTTTAGTCTTGTTTTTGAAAGTCAAATTTTCTATTTAGCTCTGATCTTTTCATCAAGAATGCTTGAAAGTCCTCTATTTCACTGAATGTCCATTTTTTCCCCTGAAGGATTATACTCAGTTTTGCTGGGTAGGTGATTCTTGGTTGTAATCTAATCTCCTTTGTCCTCCAGAATATTATATTCTAAGCCCTCTGGTCCCTTAACGTAGAAGCTGCAAAATCTTGTGTTATCTTGATTGTGTTCCCACAATACTTGAATTGTTTCTTTCTGGCTGCTTGCAATATTTTGTCCTTGACCTGGCAACTCTGGAATTTGGCTACAACATTCCTAAGAGTTTTCCTTTTGGGATATCTTTCAGGAGGTGATTGGTAGATACTTTGAATTTCTATTTTATCCTCTGGTTCTAGAATATCAGGGCAGTTTTCCTTGATAATTTCTTGAAAGATGATGTCTAGGCTCTTTTTTTGATCATGGCTTTCAGATAGTGCAATAATTTTTAAATTCTCTCTTCTGGATCTATTTTCCAGGTCAGTTGTTTTTCCAATGAGATATTTAACATTGTATTCTATTTTTTCATTCTTTTGGTTTTGTTTTATGATGTCTTGATTTCTCATAAAGTCATTAACTTTTATTTGCTTGTATTTTCTTCAGTGAGCTTTTGGACTTCCTTTTCTATTTGACCAATTCTGCTTCTTAAGGCATTCTCCTCATTACCTTTTTGGACCTCTTTTGCCATTTGGGTTAGTCGATTTTTTAAGGTGTTATTTTCTTCAGTGTATTTTTGTGTCTCCTTTAGCAAGCTGTTGACTTGTTTTTCATGATTTTCTTGCATCACTCTCATTTCTCTATCCAGTTTTTCCTCTACTGCTCTTACTTGCTTCTCAAAATCCTTTTTGAGCTCTTCCATTGGCTAGGACCAATTCATATATTTCTTGGAAGCTTTGGATGTAGGAACTTTGACTTTGTTTTCTTTTTCTGGTTGTATGTTTTGATCTTCTTTGTCACCAAAGTAAGATTCTATGGCCTGTTTTTTTTGCACTGTTTGCTCTTGTACCCAGCCAATTACTTGACTATTAAACACTTTGTTAAGGTAGGGGTCTGCTTCCAGTGTGGAGAATGTACTATCCCAAGCTTCAGGGGTTTTGTGCAGCTGTTTTCAGAGATACCTCTAGGGACCTGTAATTTTTCAGTTCTTCCAGGGTAGTATGATCAAAGGCAAGGTGTTTACTCCTTTCCTAGCTTGTGCTCTAGTATATGAGTGACCACAAGCACTCTTTTCTGTCTTGGAACTGTGAGGAGGATTCCCTCTCCACTGCCACCGCAAGTTCCTCCATGCCAGTACTCCTCCTTGCCCCAGGACCATCACCCTGGTCTCTGACTCAGATCCAAACATGGGCAAAGCAAGGGAATTCTGCCTCAGCACCAGCAAAGAGGTCCCTGCAGTCTGTCTCTGATCAGCTACTTGATTACCCCCTCTGTCTGTGGGTTGAGAGCTCCGGAAGCAGCTGCCGCCCCAGGGCTGTGCTGGGACTAGGGCTGGACCAAGCTCTTCTCTCACTGTGGTCTGACAGACCTTTCCTACTGACCTTCTAAGTTGTCTTTGGTGTTTGTGGCTTTAAAAGTCTGGAAACCACCACAGCTGCTAGTGATTCAGTCCCTGGAGGCCTGCTCCAGGATTGCTGGGGCCAGTTGGTCTTTACCTGTGTGGCCCACACTGAACTGTGCTCCTCTCCTAGCTTGGCACAACTGACCTTTCCAGTCAACCATCGAGGTTGTCTTGGGCTAGAAATTTGTTTCTGTCTTTTTGTGGGTTCTGCCCCTCTAGAATTTGTTTAGAGCCATTTTTTACAGGTATTTGGAGAGGTTTGGGGGTGAGCTCAAGCAAGTCACTG